AAATTTATATCCAATGTGTAAGTCAATATTAAAAATATTTTCAGAATTTATTTATCGTAACGAGGAAATTACGCATTGATCATTCCAAGTATGTATGGTACTTTATGATCTAAGAATACTCCACGTAACTTATAATACAGCGTGAAAATTATTGTAGGATCATAAATCTCAAAGAAAACTTTTTACAAAGACTTTTATACCGATATAATAATGAAAGATTCTTTTGCTAATAATGTTCTCTATACTTAATACATGTAAATAGTTTTTCAGATAAATAAATCGGAATGTTAACGCGTTTAATCTTCAATAGCATCCATTAAGACGATCTATAAAATGATTAAATCCAGATGAAGTTATCATTATTACGGTATATTAACCGTTCATTTCAGCGAGTTTCTGAATTATCGGAATCACATAAAACACTGATATCGCGTTGTAGTTAATCAATGATACCAATTTCTCTTTCTCTCTCTCTCTTTCATGCTTTTTTGCGTATATTCAAACATAATAATATTATAATAATAAATAGAATTAAATTTTTTTTTTCAAAATTTAATGTAGCTTAATTCATACGCGAAAAAATACTTTGTATGTGTGTTTGTAGAGAGGGATATAATTGAATGTTTTGTATAATTAACCTCCGCCATAATTCAAGGTACGTCACGTCTCCAGCCGCGGGCGGACCTCCCTATATCTCCACGCGTACATTTTGAAAGATTCACTCTTTTTTGTACGAATTTAGAGAATATAAAATTTTCTCTCTACTTATATATGTATACATATCCATTATTCAATTTATATATTAACATTTTTAATCGCAATAATTATCGTTAAGTATTCACATTATAGTTAGTATATCAATGTATTTAAATAAATACAAATTCAAAAGACCCATTAAGTTTTATTTTTATCTTTAGAATAGCTTATTACTGTCAGGAAATACTTTTAGCCTATCATTTTGATGATTTCGTTGACAACGTGCCGATGATAAGCTCTAGAATACCTAGTATGTCTAGAAACTATTTAATAAGTAGAAAAGGGATTGTGAAGCGTGTCTCACTGATTGATTTCTACGTAATTCAAAGAATAATTAGAACAAGTTAGATGATTTTATCTCAACATAAAGAAAAATTCATTCTAAAAAAAAAAATAAGTCTCTCTGTTATCAGAAGACCAATTAATTTAATACCGGAAAACACACCTGTCTGGAGACAACTTAGAATGGTGAAGTTTCATAACAAATTAATCGAGAAGACGTTTCGACGTTTGCTTTAGTGGACCTAGACAATTTTTCAACAGTCTCTATTGCATGTCCTTTAAGTAGGTATTTAAACAACAATATTTCAGATCTGAGAGGGCGCGAGTAAGGCCAACAACCTGTCAGGAAATCATACCCTTGTCAAAATAATCGTTAAATTATGGGATTCGTATAGTTTTAACTACTAGTCCGCTGGTATTCCTACTTTTAATACCTATCGTTCTGCCTGATCTCATACTTGTTTCTTTTCTAATTTACCTGAGAATTGATCATATATTTTTCTATTTTATTTTATTCCATATTAATTTTAAGCATAGTTTCTAAAAAAATATTTGATAACAAACGCACGCGCGCCTTCAACTGTAGAAATCTATTGATTACATAATATTCGTAATTGCCAATAAATTATCATTTATTGATACTGAGGGCATTAACGATTCAATTATTATCAAATCATTAACGTTATTGAAATTTATGTATAAAATGATAAAAAAAAAAGTTATTAAATCTGTATGACAATTAATTTTGATGAACTTTAGTTGTTGGTTTTTCTTGAAAAATTGATCATCAACAATTTGCTACGTTATATTCATGTTTTTATTTGAATTATAACCGTATAATTACCCACTGATTATCATCATTATTTGAGTTTTTTTAGTCTTCACGAGTTATAAAATAAATTATTCAACTTTACGTCTCGTTAAACGATTTGATTATGAATTAAAATTCTACATGAATATTTCAATTTATAAAGAACCCTTTTCTTCCACCCAATCTCTCTTATCGACCTCACAGGTAGATTACACTTTACCCAAGCGATAAAACGCACTGATCGTGATTTTCACAAAATAACCAGCTGCTCCACTGGATAACAAACGATCTATGGATCATTAATTATGGGTTTCACGTGTGTTCAAGTTATATATCTGAAAGACTTTCTCATTCATAATATTTCGCTGCACTCAAAAAAATCCACCGCTATAATTATATCTTACTAATTATTACAAATAAAACGATTAATTTAAAATGACTTCAAATAATGTTCTGCAATAATACATAAATATCTGTAAAAGTTATTCCCTTGGTGAAGCAGGTGGCTCGCGCACAACTTTGAACGTTAAGCAACCGGTGTATAAGATAATGACTATTCTGCCACCACTAACTAACAGAAATCGAAAATCAATGTGGCAAAATTGAGTGACGTGAAAATGATCCGTGTAATCAGTATGTTTGCAGAAAGGAAATGGTATAAGAGAGAAAGAGAGATCGAGTGTATGTAATAAATATCGAAGCTAAGAGAAGATACGGGCGCTACTTACGACGTCAACGATAATCACAGGGTATGGCCTGGCTGTTTGCTTAGCGAGCAGATTAGTGAATGAATCCACAGGTGGCCACTATCCGTCACATTCCCAGATCACATCGCAACTCCACCTACTATTTGTCGTATATCTAGATCTTACGCTCTTAAAATCTCGTAAACGTCAATCTATCGTTTCTAAATTGCTCGTTAAATGGAGCTTCATTTTGTTATAAGATTCAATTTTAGAAATCTTGTAGTATTTATTACATGAAAACTCATTGTTACTAGGGATATCGAAATAATAAAGTGCTGCATTGTTATAAGTACCATTAGACCACCAGAGTAATGTCTGAAACAATAGCAGTAATTTACCTTTGCTCTGCAATGAATACCACTTTGAGTCAAGAAATTTTAGTGCTGTTACTTGAAGCATCGAGTGAGCTTTGAATCATGAATTGATGGATCTTCACAAAACTAACTGCCTTCTACTTCTCGAGCAGCTGAGCCTCGAGCTAAAAGCTACTTTAGCGTCCAACCTGATAGCAATTTACTTCTTGATCATTTCATAAAATGTCAGAGTGTCAAGAAAAATTAATAAAATAAATTTGAAACAAAATAGCCTACGATTCTACTCATTTTACATAGTCTTCTATTCAATCCGAGTAATAATTTAGTAATAAATGTTAAAAGTAAATAACCGTTGACGTTGCTTATAAAAAAAAAAATTAATACGCTACAAATTATTTATCACCCTATGCTTATAAACCAACGAGAGATCTTGAATTCTGATACAGAAAAGACAAGTATAATGGCACAAAATATGGCTGAATTTCCAATGACTATGTTTGAAGACTCGTCCTCCAAGTTGGTAGTAATTATAGCCACATTATTATAACGTCACCGGCCATACATCAACTGTAAAGTATTATGCATATGTATGGATATAAGCTGCGCCACAGAACCTGTGTGTAGCTTAACTCATAAACGCCCTCCTGTCAATCTTCGTGCACCAGTTGATTGTCTAAATAATTTGTTCCTTTTTTTAACATATTATACGAGAAGCTTAGGCATTTTGGTCAGTCTCGTCAGTACTTGAAAATTTTCCAAAGGCGTGAAATCACTTTGCTCCTCGTTAGACAAATATGTTAAGCGTGTGGCACGCGAGAATAATAATTCTTTTAAGTAAACATTAATTCAGAACTAAAAAACGGCATCGAAGGCGGGTCATTATTTGTTTTAGATATTAATGCCCTCAGCCAGCTATCAATAATTTACAGGACGTAATTGTGTGGCATATACCTATATCTATATATGAATATAGTGAAGAGGAGGCTCGTGTAAACGATAAATCATGATAAATACGTTTGCCATGGCCATTATAACAGGAGAGAAAATGGAAGGTGTAGGAGTGAGATAGGATGAAAACGTGATCCACAACGGAGTTGGACCAACGTGGACCACAAGATGCATCCTCTCCCCGGGGCCACTATTCAGCATCCGCCTGCGTGCGCATTACGATCGCTTAAGTCTCGACTGGGCTATCGAGTGATCCATCGCCCAAGATTCTTCGAAATAACCGGCGCCGTGTTCATCTCACTTTCTCGCCCATCTTCTCTTTCTTCTTCAAGTTTATTTCGACTAACGAGCAGCCTGACCTGTGCAGATTCTCAAACACGACATCCAATTGAAACTTCGAACCGGTCTCGAGGTCTGATAGCACTCCAGGCATTTCGATATCAACAATTAAAACTCAACGCTTTCCGATAGTGTGGCTCTCGGAATAATCATTAGATCCACTTAATATGGACCTCAATTTCCAACCAGGTGGACTCGTTTCAAGAATGAATGCAGAAAACCGAACAACGAAAAAAGGAAATTCAAGATTCACTGGGAGGTAAAGAAGGAAAAGAGAAAGACAGATGAGGTTAAACAAGAGAAAGAGTCTGGCATGAATAGTAGACCCTGCAGGAGGCTCATAATTGCCGACCCTGGAGATCAGTCGGCCCCCATGGGGTCGTTCTTTGTTTGTTTTATTCTTCAGTTATACAAACGCGAGATCTACGACCGATATATGATAATCGTTCTCCTAGATTCTACTTTTATTTTACACAGCTTCCAATATCTCTTTTCTAAGCCCACCTACATGTATAAAATAGTGTTAGCTGAGTATCTTTGACAGCGGCTTTGTCATTCACACTGACTTTATTTTGTGGTCGTCAAGAAATTAACACGAGAACTCAACATAATAGGAAGCAAAAAGGAAGCTCGCTTCACGTCTCATCACTTATGGATCACATTCATCGAAAATTTCTTTTCAAGGATGATTGATGTTCCTCGTTATCGTTTTGCTACCAATTCTCGCAGATTCTCAACTCATCACGCCTATTCCCGTTTTTTATATTACCATGCAACTAAGCAAAAAAGTGTTTTATCGCTTACCTCACTGTCAATCTTTTTGAATTCTGGTTCCTCTTCATCAACTTCGAAATACAATTCTGATGAAGTGATTGATATAATTCCGGGTGCGACGATTCCTGGTGCAATTATTTTTCCTTTGGTACTAATGTTTACTGGACCTAAAAAAAAAAATTAATGATAATATTCAATTCATGTAAATTCGAAATAAATGAATTAATGAATATGTTAAAAAAATTAAAAAATGATTTGCTCACCAGTTAAATCACTATCAAGATCTCTATCGTCAGACAACAATTCATTATCATCCATAAGATCAGCCGACTGTAGTTGTTGTTGATGAGCACGTGATGCTGCTAGATGAGCATGAAACTCTTCACGTGCTTGAAGAATTGCATCTTCAGGCGCACCGTGTTCTAAAGCTGCCTTCAAAGTTGCTTCTGGATGACTTGAACCCAGTGGATTGTGAACAAAACGTTTTCGTCGTCTTGCATCATCTTCCCACGCATCTAACTTCCAATACTCTGTTAGCCTGTCGGAATCATTGAGACTTTGTAATGATAAGTATAATGTTCTCAAGAATATTTAATAAAAAATTTTATTTCTCTAATAAAATAACATTTTTATCATTGTATTATACTTACTTTGCAGCCATTGGATCCATATATCCCCAAGCTCCATGTTTGTTGGATAATATATTTCTAATCTTTTCTAACAATCGACTTGCTATTACATTGTCGCGTCTTCGAGCTGCCGTTATTAAGTGGTCACACATTCTTTCCTCTTCTCTACGATCCAATAGAGTTTGTGCACACTGTGACTATATAAATGAACAATTTCCATAAGCAATTATGAAAAACTACTTTTATTCTATTCAATTGTAGATTTCTTTGATAAAAGTAACAACTTACTTCAAAATCTGCATGTTTAAGAACATCATCAGCACGCATTCTATTGAGAATAAATTCCGCTTCATTTGCTACACGTACAATATGATCTTTCATCGCATGAGATAACAGTCTTCCTTCATTGATTAATTCAATAAAGGCTAATCCAGCATGTTTTTGTAAAGAATTTTGCCATTCTTGGGAGCATAAAAGCATGACAAGTTCTACTACTGAGGTGCTGTTTTTGAAAGTTGTTAAACCTGGAATAATACCAAAGAATTTAGTGAATTCATTGAAAGTACTACTTCAGGTATGAAAGTTGAATTTAAAAGACTCGGAAGGCACGTAGATCCTTTAGTGCATCGTGCATACAGATCAAGAAATTATTGAATTCAAACAGACAAGTATATGTTCACACACCTTTTCCTTCCATTAGTAATTCTTGGCCGTGTGAACCAACCAGAGTTTTCGAAAGAAATGGAGCAAAATCGACCATAATTTCGCGAAGAAGAGGACACACTGAACCTAGTGCCATTTCCAGTTTTTGTGTAAGAGAAGCTTCACGTGATGGTGTCGGGACTGGAAGGTGTTCAACAAGACTCTTAATTGGTAAATCGTCTGGTCTGGGAGATGCTGATGTTACTACTAAACGATCTGGTATCCGAACAACAGAGATTTCACCAGATGGTTTTTCTCCACGCTCTGGATCAACTAAATTATCTTGCTCCAAAACATTTCCTTCACTATCTGTAAAATCCAATTAAAGATAAATTAAGTTTAATTTATAATATTTATCGAGAAGATAAATTTAAGATTATTAAGACAAATGAAGGTACCATGAGTGTGAGACATGTTGTGAATATTTCGTGAATCCTCACGTTGATTGATTATTGAAGGTGTGTCACCATCTTCGTTAAGATTTACATCAGTCCATGCTTCTTCAGATGAATTGTGTTTATTGTCATTATCAGTAGTGATATCAGAAGGACTAGCATCTGTGGTAATATTGCTACGATGCATGACATCTTCACTAGAGTCATTACTCTGTAGAAAAACAATTTTATTATAGACATGAATGAAAGGATTGTGCTTTTAGATGAATATATTTGGTGGTCTTTTAGCAGAATTATGAAAAGAATTTTTATATTAGTCAATAGGAATATTTTTTCAATGGATTTATCACATCAAAATATAGTTATTTACTAATAATCCAATGTTAAAAAATCTATAATACTACAACTGTCTACCAATTTCAATACAATATTTATCTCCATCTAAAAATCTGATTCCAACTTGAAACATTTTATTAAAAAATTCAATATCAATTTTTAATTAAAATACTGTTATTTTGTTGCAATAATAAGAAGATATTCATCAAAAAAATATTAGAATTTTACATGCAGAGTTATCGAATACGCTACCAGAGGCAATCTTCTATCGTTAATATGGAAAAGATATGAAGCTGTTTGTGAATCCAAAGCGGTGATAGCAAGAATGAATTTTAAAATTTCATCTTATAAAATTTTCTTTTTTAATTTGATTAATTATTGTATTTTTTGGATATTGATACTTTTATTTCAATTCTCCATGTAATGATGATCCTTAATAACTGATCTTTCCCATTCGTTGGATAAAGTCATGATTTTTTTTTGCATAATTATTTTGTCTTCTTTGGTAGCAATTTTTACCTGCTGATTTCTTTTCACTTGCTCGGGTCTTGTTGAAGTGCCAAGTGTTGGTTCTGACGAGCCATAATCTTCGAGAATTGCCTGTGACCGAGGTACACCAGTGTGACCTCCCTTCAGAACCAGTAGTTAGTATGCATAGCATTGCAAGCAGAGAGGGTTAACGTTGAGAGTACCGGAAAATAGAAATTCACATGCTCGTATATAAGTAACTAATGGATAAAGTAAAGAGCAAGGTACTAATGTAGAAATCTATCATATTTTAGAGCTAAATTAAAGGAACCCAACATGATTAAGTGTCCATAAATGTAATAAATCAGATGATTAATTAAAGCTGAAAAATATTATAAAATAAAGATATTTACATACAAGGGACTAATTGGAAGTAAAAATTTATACCTAAAACTGATTTACAAGCAGTATCAAATATTTATTGTTCTAATTAATTTTTTTGTTTGCAAATAACTTCATCTTATAGTTCAATTGTTTACTTTTTAACTGTTCCTTTAATTTTGTTCCTGTACTATTAAAAAGCAGAATTATAGGAATGAAAACTTATTTAATATTTATCTACGTAAAGGATAATCAAGTTCATTGCACTCTTTATTTCCTAGTCACGTAGTTTGGTTTTCGACGTACGATTACTACGTGCTAAACGTTTTAAGAATAGTGACGTTACTGTAGTGTTACATATTGTATTATCAACATATTTCCAACTACCCGAGAATGCAAGACATCGATGAAAAAGCAATGTACATGCTGAACATCGCAAACTCAATCTATGATAAAATTATTACATTTTTTACGTTTGTAAGTCAGGTCTCATCATCATACGTGCTTCAGTGACGCGTGCACATGCGATATGTGCCAATTTTATAAAATTTTTAGAATAATTTATTTTTTCGTGATTTAATTCATTATTTTATTGATTTTCTAACCCCACTACTTTGGTATGAACAATAACTTTTAAATTAATTTATTGTTTATTAATTAGATAGTAAAAATAAAGAAGTTTTTCCATAGTTAAGATATTATCTTATAGAGCTTAAATAATAGATAGTTATTTATTAGCATAGAAAAATTGATTAGAATAACCGTGGATAATACCTTTGTTGATGGAGGACCAGAAGAAGTAACGTCATGATCGGCAAGAATAGATGAATTGTTTTCATCGACAACAATAACTTCATATTCACCATCATCTTGAGATCCAGATTGACTCATAACACCTCCACTCTCTAGAACATTTTTTATTTTTTTAAAATAGCATTCATCTGCTGCATTATTTACAAATATTGTCATTAAGCAATCCACAAACTAAATTATGCATAAGAAGGCTTAAAGAATAATGACGCATAGTAGCCCGCCAAAATAAATATGCTTTTTTATCAAGTGTTGTTAACTCTTGTTTTTAGTTGAATTTTTTACCGCTATGCGTCATTATTATCTACGTTACCCTTTTTATTTTTTTGACATGGTAATAAACAGTGTAAAATAATTTTCAAAACATGCTGAATGAAAATTGATTTTAAAAGTATATAAAATATTTAGTTATTCTAGAATATAAATATGAATTAACCCTTAATCACAATTCTCGATAGACATATAATTAAACTTACAAATGATAATATTAAGGTTAATATTAATGACCAATGTGGGCATCAACATGATAAAATCAAAAAATTATACTTTTTTATTGATACATATGTAATAAATACGTCATATATACGTAATAAAAGTGAATAAGAGTTAAAATTTGAGAATTGAATACATTACAGTATTCATGCGATAAAAAAAATAACGACTAGACAGGCAAACGAAGGAAAAACATTTCAAGGAAGCATTCGAAACTCAACGAGATTTAATTCATTGAAATATAATTGAAGAATGTAGGTCCACACAAAAAATATTGAAATCACACACAGTGAGTAGTTTGTGAATGAATATTTATAACACTCTGTGAGATTTACTCATGATAGAAAAATTCAAAACAGAAAAAAATGTATCAAACACTCGATTTTTTGGAGTATGATGATGATCATTAAAAAAGCTAGGGTTGTAGAAAAAATATTAATTATTATCGATCTATCCTAAATCAATTGGATGTTTGAACAATAGCACGAGATAAAAACATCAATGAGGGTAAGGTATTAAAGAGGTGCTGAAACAGGCGACATTTATTCATTCCGTGGTAAACACTCTAGCATTGGAAATTACCTTGCAGACCAACACCAGAATTTCTATGATAGAGGTTTCGGGGTTGATCGTTATGCTTTTGAAGCGCGTGATGATGATTATTATTGTGATGGTGGTAATGATGGTGACGATGATAATTATAATTATTTGGATGATGATTATTATAATGATTATTATGATGATTTGGAATGTAATAGTTGGAAGGAGGCTGGCGATTAGAGTGCCTGACAGTCGGTAGCGGGTGCTGGTGGTAGTGCTGGCTCATGTGGTGGTTGGCATTGACATTGGCATTGGCGTTGGGGTGAGAACCCGGGAGGAACTGAGGATACACGTGGTGAGACCACTGTGGAAAGAGAGGCCTTCCTCCTCCACCACCATTTCCATCTCCTGAGGAACCACATTTTTCTATGGTTATCACGCTGCTTTTACTTAATCTTCAGCCGTTTATTATCTTATTACATCTCTTAGAATTTCGCTCTGAATAAATTATCAACTAGTTTCATCGTGGAACAACGATTGACGAGTATATATTCTTCATTGATTTATACTCTTCTACTGGATAAAGTTTTATCCATGAATAATTAGGAATTATCTAATTAATTTTAGCATTAATACAATTTTAAGGGAATAAACAGGTGATAAAATCAAGAAGGATTCTTCGAAAGGACTTCAAATAATTAAATCAAGTCTAGTAATGAAAAAATACTGTAACCAAAATCCAATAAAAACAACATACAAGATTAAATAGGTAAAAAATAAATAGAGCTAGAATAAAAAGTAATTGATTATAAAAAAATTATGATGATGATGGTGAGAATAATGATGATGATGATTACAATAATAATGGTCAGATGTTTAGAGCATAAAAAAGTGCATATACTTGACAAACATCAAAACTCTCACTGTCAGATACATACAAAATATTAAAAGTACATCTACGTTAGTGCAACCACACATGCTTTACTACAAGGTGGTACCAGGTGTTATCAAGTTGTGTTTAGCTATCTATATGCAAGTGAAACAATAGAATATTAAATTATTATAATGATAATAATAATGATTAAATACCGTCCAGAAAATTCAGTTTAAAATTCTATTTTTATCATTTATAAACATTCTATTACTCTAAATCTAAAATTCACTTCGTTTATTTATAAATCTTTTAATCATTAATATCAAATTAAACTTCATCGCTATTAAAAATGAATAGAATCACTCAGTAGTGTTTTATTTGTATTTTATTATTTTTTCGCATGCTTTTTATAAAATTTAATTCATATTTTTTATCATGCTTGTTTTATAAGGTTAAAAAACTTTAAGACAAGAAGTCAAAAGAAAAGAATTTAACTGTTATTTCATTTTATTCAATTATTTAAATTTATTCATTCACTGATGAAATGGTGATCCATTAAAATTATGTTGATATGAGGAGAAATTATTTCAAGACAATAAATGAAAATAGTCGATAAGAAAGAGCATGATATATCTGACACGTAAGAGTTTTGACAAATGGAAAATCCCTATTATATATGATCAAATGACCGATAAATTGAATATTTAAGATAAGTATCTTTATAAGGAATAATTGTAATAATGCACTGATAAGTTAGCCAATTATTCACGACTACTCGTCAATGCTATCTCGAATTCTTGCTGATTATTCGGAAAGCAATATTCCATTTAAAAAAAGTGTTAAAAATTCTCACCTGATGGACTTCCTGATCGGATATTGGCACCATTAGTCTGAATTGTTTGAATAGGACTTGGTGGTCTCTGTGAAATTGGTGGTTCCAAAATATCCCGATATTTTGAAACCATAAGTACAGAGATGAAGTAAACTATTGCCAGAGACAGAAACTGTGCCTGTTTAGTTTCTTCCTGTAAGAAATAATAATTCATGAGATCTTATTTTTGAAGTATCATGGTCATTATTGACTATCATTCATATAATTCAATTTACTTACAACATCTCTGTAAATAACAGCTCTCAGACGATTTACGTCCATATCTTGCAAAAGCTTTTCAGGATCTTTCACAGGACTCAACTGATTAGCTAAATTGTCCATTATATTCTATAAATAAAAGAAACATGTTTTAAAAATGTTCAGTTTATCTGAGAGAAGTAAACATACAAATAAAACAATTTTACTATTCTATTATAAGTAAGTTGAAAAACCTCCAACATTACTAAAGTTGACGTAATTTATTTTACATAAATAGAGTATTTATAAAAACAAGATTTTATTTAAGATGTTCTACGAGTTACTGATTTTAAAAGTATACACATACCTTGGGTGAAGTTTGTGCTCCTCGGATAAGAGATTGTATGTGCTGTGATTTATTACTAGTACCAATTTGTCGACCTAACATGCTGTATGTTCTGCCACGTTCTTTACACTCTAAGCAGTTTCTAACAGCACAAGTACAGACCTAAACAAGCGGTATATTTTGGAAATAACTGGCTCAATATGTTTATTAAATTGTGATTATAAATTATCGAGCCTACTCTAAAACGCCGTATTTTTTATCCATCAAAATTTTAGTGTACTTTTGAAGTTATATTACCTCTATTAAATTATTTAACACTTATTCAAATTTCTAGTTTATAAGAGTTTAGAGATTGATGAATCATGCATCTAATTGTCTTTAGGATATCAATATTGATAAATACTAATTACTGATACATTGATACCAGAATACTCTAAAATGTTTCCTAACGAATAATGAAAATCTAAAAATAATTAATCAATAAACTCTATGATGATGAGAAATTTAAATATATTTAAAATTAAAATGAGAAAATAATAAAATTGTTTATACAAACCAATCGTAAACATTGTCGGAGTATTCCTCCACTAGACATATTTTTCTCAGCTTCAAGTTCTCCGAAATTCAAAGAACTTGCAAAAATAAGTACGTCCGCCATATTGACTAGTCTTTGGAGAAATGATACTGCTACTTCTATTGGCATACCCTGAGTCGGTTCAATAACATCAAGTTCACTCTGAAATGATAAAATTTTACTTGAACTATTTGATCTTTTATTACCATTCGAGTATTTTTTTGATATTAAATCTTTTACTTACATTTGGTGATGTTGCGGATGCTAATAAAGGTAATAAACCACCACAAGCTATGATTAAATTATCAGCTAATTGTGATATTAAATGAACGGTATTGACAACAAATATTGCATTTTCACTGCTGTTTACAAAATCCAGCACTGATTTCGTTGAATGGCTGCAAGATGAAATATTGAAATAAGAAATATTTCACGTGTATTTATTTAGAAAATTCACAAAAAGTACTTCATTAAATATTTACCTTCTCCAAACTTGAATGTCCGTTTCAAGAGAGAATAGTACATCAGAGAGTAACCTTTGATGAATATAAGACCATTTAAATTCAGGTATTCTAAAGGGAGGTCGACTTGGTCCTGGACTAAACATCGGTCTAGTTGAAGGATTTCCTTGCTTTACTCTCTTCGATTCTAAAAGAGTTAAAAAAAAAAAACTTAAAATGATAGCTATTTACTAAAATTTAAACATCCGAAGAATTTCACGGAAGATGATCACTTACAATTTTTTTTAATGAAAGGTTTAAAATTAACTCTTAGACAGTATCAAGAAATTTAATTGCTTATAGAGAAAATAATTAATATAAACCATGTTAATATTACCAAAGTGGTTAGGATCCACCTGGGTGGATGTAGAGGCACTCCGTGGTCTCTTTTGAGGTGACGAAGTTTTTCTGAGCGGAACAGGTAAGTGAGGTGGTTCATCACCATTCATTTCAGTGGCCGTTCCAGCAGATACATTGGGTAAACTCGATCGGCGATGAGGATCTATATGATCCGGCGTTGATTGAGAGACATTCATTACAGGATTGTCCTTTGCAACCACATTAGAACTAACATTTTGAGGCACACCATCGGGTAAACTTTGAGTTGCATCACAGACCATAGTTGGAATTTGCGGCATAGAATTTGGCACTTGCGTCGTGTTATCTATAGAACTTTGAACATTGCTACTATTACAAACACTATCAGTTACTTCTACTTCATCAGTTCTCACTGGAACATTTATTTTATCACTTATGCTAGTAGAAATATTGGACGGCTCCCTTGAATGTTTTTCATTTCCGTTTTCTTCATTATTATTAACATTAATATTATTATTATGATTATTATTAATAACACTTTTATTTTCTGTTAATGAATCTACATTACACTCGCCGTTCGTTAAACCACTATCACTTAATGATTTCAACGTCTTTTCGTCGTGATTCACCTTCTCTACATCAGCCTCGGAGCATTCGATTACGCTAGTTGAGCAATTGAGATTTTTTACAACTTCTTTCATGTTGACATTATCAGCCTTAATATTAGCTTTTTCTTCACCTGATATATCTTTGATATTGATCACTTGTTCACTCGAATCTTCTTCAACTTTACTAGAATCTTCATTATTCTGAATAGACGTGTGTTTGTTTAAATTATTTATCACATCTTCATGAACTATTTCATTTTTTTCTTTCTTCTTTTCTTCTTTTTCCTCTTCTTCGATGGCAGTAATCTCAGAAATAACGTCACCATTTGTTTTGTCACTCGATGTATTGACTTTGACAGGTGATGAATTTTCGTGAGTGCCAAAACTCTCAGTAGCTTCCGTTATAGCCGCAATATTTTCTAAGGCAACAGTAGATTCTTTATCAATCGCATTATCTTCGACTTTCGATTCTTCATCCTGTACTTTTTCATCATTTTTTATTTGATTCTGTTCTTTTTTTGGACTTTGTAACGTGGGATTTTCTTCTGACGTTTGATCACTCTTTGATTCTTTTTCATTCACTTCAAATGCTTTAGCTTCTTTCTCGTCCTTTTTACTTTCTTCAATCGTATCTTCTGTTTCTTTACTTTCTGTGCTTTTCTCAGACTGTTTGACCTTTTCAGTTTCTTTATTTTCCGCCTCTTCATTTTCCGTATCAGTGATATCGCTTATTTCTTTACTATCGATCACTTCAGGAGTATTTCTATTATCATCTTTAATTGTTTCCACGTCACTTTTTATGCTTGATGCTTCCTTTTTGTCATTTTGCTCTTCAGAATCTCCTTCAATCTCCTTTGTGATATCTGAAGCCTCTTTATTGTCTGCACTTCCTTCCGTTTCTTCCGATGACGATGTTGTTACTGGTTTTGACGTTTCTACGGTAATTTCAGATTCTTGTGTAGTGTTATTTTCATTCTCTTTGTCCAAAGTCTCTTTTTCACGCTTCAAAGTATCGTTATTGCCAGAATCCTTACTAGGACTTTCAACTTTCTGAACCTCACTGTAAAGTTCGCTAGAGCTTTCAATCGAAATAACTTCACTAGTTTCATGAGTAGTAGGTAAAGAAATAGCCTCACTATTAACTTCTTCGTGAATAGTCGGCGTCTCTGTATGATTTTCAATAACTGCATTAGATGCTTCAATTTTATCACTTAGCCTTGAATCTAAAGAAACTGCTTCACTAGATTGTAATGTGCCGAGATTTTCACTACGAAATTTAATAATTGAAGGACTTCCATCACTTTCCGTATTATCAATAGAATTCAAATCGCAACTACATGATTCTTCAAGACGATCATTTCCCTCTAATGCTTCATACTCTTTATAATTCCTTTCAATATTCTGCACATCTTCTGATTGTTGAATAGTCCAAGCTGAAGGTCTATTGTAACCGTTATTACCAGAATGCTGTTGATCCCACCCTGAAATTGTACTTATTGGCCTCTGTTGTCTTACTTCAGGATCAGTTATATTATCAGATCGTTGTCTTTCGTAATGTTCATACATTTGAGCAAATTGAAGTTTGAATTCTTCATATGACACCTGAAAAAATAATTTATAAATGTATTATTTAGGAAGTTTTTGCTTGCAATATTGCAGATAAAAATTCTTCACATTTTATATAATAAAAATATCTATTTTTTTTAGAATTTCAAAGAATTTTACATCTGAATCTCAAATATTTTCATACAACTCTTCATAATACTGACTGCAACATTGGTCTCATTTTTAGTATTCCGAAACTGACATACTTAAACCGGATGAATTTATCAAATATGTTATCATTTTTTCAAAATTCTTTTTTGAGAGAAAAATTTTTATAGAAAACATCTTTCATATTTTCAATTCATTCATTCCTTTACAATTTTAATTGAATGTAATTTTTATACTCTAATTTATTTACCTTTGAATGGACGATAGCCAACGTATCAACCCAAACTCTCCAGCCGCCGTATTCATGTTTGATAGCATGATGAAGGAGCATTCGAAATAAAGAGTAAACCATGTCAGATATTTTCTGTTCTTCAGTATTTTTCGGATGGATATAAGCCATCGCTATTAGCCATTCTTGCCAAACAGACATTTGAAGAACAGTACGTCGGTTTTCGCGATTATTATTACAAAGTAAAGTCATATCAGATAGAAATAGTTTTTTCACTTCCAAAAGCTGTTCAGTTTGTTTTGATTGTCGTATTAAAGTAGCAACAACTTTTAAAATCATTGGGTTTTCTAATCGATAATGTGATTCAGGCTCTGGATGCCTTGTATACAGAATATGTTGATTTATATGTTCTGTCATGATTTCATAAAGAACATTGTATGTTGGTAGCAATAGTGTCTCTTCATTAAGTAATAATCTTTCGGACAATAAAGTATATAGATTATGTGGACTCATAACATCGTATTTACGTTTATGTGTACTACGGCTGAGGAAAAATCCAAGAAGTTTCAGTGCTTGTAGACGAATTAATTGACTTTCTGCTGCCAATAATTTGAAAATTGTCCTGACGCCTTGTTTCGCATCAAAAGCAGGTACCATTGATGATGGATGTTCCGATGTTAAAGATATCAGCATTTGAAGAACGTCATGTAAATTTTCATCTTCGTGCATAGTTGTCAAATAGTTAAGAATACTTTGGAGTTCATCATCTTTTACTCCATTTCCAATCATTATTAATTGCTTTAAAAAAAGCAAAATGTAAGATCGAATAGTCAGTATATCCTTTTGTTGAGGGCGTGGTCCATCTGAAAAATTAAGTTTTAATTAATTCATCAAAATCTTACGAATTTTATTTGAAATAATTAACTCTCCGCATACGAGGTATCTTTTTAAACAACTGTGCCTAAACATTCATATTTTTAGTAGCTGTGTATGCGTTAAAAAGCAAAGTTATTTGATATTGCTGCAAAATACTAGATTAATTATAGGCAATTTTGACCCTACCTCGTATGGCATATTTATATTTTCTTCCTAATATGCGGAGGGTTAAAATTGTTGTAAAAAAAAAATAAAACGTGAGAATTCTAATTACAAAAAAATATTTAAGAATGTTATTAACACGTGAAAAGAAAAATATAAAAGAATTGTTTTAATCTTTTCGCTCACCTAATCCTTTTGGAGTTATTCCACTTTTCCCTCGAGGATTGGCTACCCAGTAGTAATACTTGAGCGTATGAACTGTTTGTAAAACTGTAGATACACGTCTGACGTTGGAATAAATTTGAGTATCGCTGAGAAACTCTGTAGCCAAATATGAATAAAGACGTGTTTGAACTGGAGCTGGAGTGTAAATCCATAAAGCTGGGTTGAATAAAACGTGGTCCAGTAACTGCCATGTGAGGAATGAAAAGTAAAACAACTACATCACCATATATCTGCCTGTTCTTCGGACACGCCAATCTAGCCGACTTTGACAATTGTTTTTTACGAATATATTACTATGATTGTGATGAAAAATAGTGCAAATGGATGGTGAAAAATTGCACTGTGCTTTGATATTTAATTTGGTGAATAGTAGTAATTTATTTTCAAGTGCCATTATTTTAAGCAAAGATTACAAAAATGTGGTCATAAATTCATGCAAGTGCCAGAAAAATATTGTAAAGATAAATAGATACTTTGAGAATGAATGTGAATAATAGAAGTGAGACATAAATTATTACGCGCACGGGCGTTACAAAACGAGTAGAGAAAGCTCAAAAGTCGGTAGATTACATGCGGTCCAAAGAGTGGAAAAATAAATAGTATACGCAAGAAATATACATTCATGCTGATTTCTTACACTGTGCTGCTTTAAACAATTCTATTTAAACTCGAGGAAATTTTGCTTGTTTTCAAGTGCAAAAAAATTTCATTTAAATAGCATTAACTTGACTCAAAAACTTATCCATCTTTCATGAAATATTCAAATAATTATTTCATGCCAATGTGAAAATTATATTACTGTGAGAAAATATAAATTGAAGTAATTTGATTAAAATTTTTTATGAAAATAATTTATTTTTTCATTTTTTTCGTATCAACCTTTTCAAAACGTTACATACTCATAATAATTAAATTAAAAAAAGTAATTAAAATTTTCTTATAACAAAAAAAATTTGTGAGTTTTGTAAAGGTCGATTCAGTAACGAAAAATCTTCAGTGGTAGGAAAAATTGCTTCACTCAGTTCTTAAAAGTTAAAAAATAGTTCAACTTAGAACAAAGTTGTATGTAATAAAATATGTGTACCTGTTTTAGCAATAAATCACTATTCGCACTGAGACACGTGACGAGATGTTTCGTAAGTTCTAGAAACGAAGCGAGAACTTCAGTGGTGAGATGCTCTCTACTTGCCCGCTGTAGCATAAAACTGATCACTAAGAATCCTCGGTTTTGTACCATATGTTGCTGTACTGTCTGTGAAGTTTCTACGAGGTCACAGATGAATCCAAGTAGTTTTGAACTACAATTAAAGTCATTATGTTTTAGTCCTTTAATAAACTGACTGGAATAAATTTATTTTTTAATCCGGAGACAGTAATAGAAATATTATTACCAAAGCATTGGATCTCGTTTGATATCATTTGGCGCTATACAATCGTAAGGCATGTCTAATTGTGAAAATAATGGAAATAAAACTTGAATTCCACCAATGGAATTTAAAGTACTATGAATGGAATGTGTAATAACTGCTTTTACATCCTGAAAATAAATAACACGACAAATTATTCATTGAGATAATAATTAAAAAATAGACATTAAAACAATCAAATACCTGTAACATGAGAGCATGTGGTGTATGTACAAAATAAGAGACATTTCCTTTTGGTGCACTTTGTAAACAGAGTTGAGAATCCGTTGCCACTGGGTTGTACATGAACACAATTGCATTCGACAGTTTGCCATCGTATAGCACCTGTATTTATTGAAAAAATAATGTAAATTCTGCTTTAAATATTCATGCTATTATATGACATTATACCAGAAAAATATACTACTACTATTAATCGTTAGCTTTTTATAACTAAATAAAAGAAAAAAAAACAGTAACGTTGAGTTACTATAAAACACAGTGCATCATTCATTAAAAAAAAATACAAATATCAAGCATAAACCCACCTGAAAATACACAAAACAAGTATTGGGAAAATATTTTTAAATATCATCACTCTGCATTTCATGCTAACTAGAATAATAAAAATAATTCGCACGAAACGTCCGTATACTGAGATAAACTTAAATTATGACATTTAACTAATTAGCAAAAAGTATAATATAATAACAATTTTTAATTTAATCAACTAATTTTTGGACAAAGTAGTTTCTAAAGGAATCATAATATTTAAACATTACCTTACTTGAACATGAATGTAGATTAATAAAAACTGATAAAATATTAAAATAAATCTAAATCAACTGAGGAAAACAGAAACAAAAATGCTTACAGTTTGCATACTTTGGTCCACCATGCTTGTAAACTCCGGCTCATCACTCACCCTTTTGTGATTGTCTGGTAGATTCAGGTAGCACTCGTTGTCAAAGCGGAATTGACTCTATAAATGATAGAGATTTTAACAAATACGTTTGATAAAATGATAACATCTATCGAATGTTTTAGTCTAGATTAATTAATCAACTAATTGATGAGATCGATATTAGCTTACTTTATACCCAGGACCTAATCTATGCATTGCACATATTTGATGAGTTGTGAGAGCCTCGCTAAATAGATATATTGCACTCATTTGACCACAAAATACCCTTTCTTCATCCACTTCTGGTGTTGCTCCTATGTAGCACTTATCAAATGGCTAAAAAAATATATGAATATAAAGAAAGGACTACTTTTAAATTATTCCATTTTTGTATTTTTACTCACATCGTTCGTTGACACAAACCAAGCCATTTCTGTACTTGATGCTAATTGGCCGTTGACTAAACATTTTATTTCGCTTTTTGTCCACCTATTATATATGTACACAATGGCGATCATGTACCACTAGAATGAACCAACAAATATTTTATTTTTTTAATAATTATTTATTGACAAAAATATGAGGAGATTAAATAAAAATTTTTTTTTTTTATTAAAAAAATTAAACCACATGTAAATTATGAGGGTCTCTATAAATATTTATTTTAATTTTTGGTAAAACATTACGCACAAAATATTCATCATTGGTGCATCAGATTATATTAACATGACTTTAAAATTCTGAATAATAAATCAAAAAACCTTCATTTCAATTAAATAGGCATTCATTTTTAATGAAAAACTTGTAACGTTTCTGTAATTAAATGAATAAATAAAAGATATAATCTATTATGGATTAAGCTTATTAACTAAAAATTTCTGAAATTTTCCAGTCAATTTAACGTAGCCTCTTTACTTTTATAATTTTATATAAAATCCTTTTAAGGTAATAAAATTTAGTACTACTTATATAAAATAGTAACATTATTTTTAAATTGTTAAAAATTTATAGAGTCTTTTTAGCTTATTTCCGATAAATTTTTCTGTATATAATATCTTATTTAATATCAAGTAAAATATTTCTCAAAAGATGCTTTGCTCTATTGCTTGAGGAATTATATGAGATAATTCCTTTGAGAAATTTTAACAAGAAAATTGCATTTACCTTTCTTGGCTGAAATTCATATTTGACACAGTGCTGGAAGCCCTTTCCTTTTATTTTCATAGAGGTAAGAACCAAACAATTGCCTACAAAATGAGCAGAGTACCCCACTCCTTTGCTGGTTTTAAAACTAAGAAAGGAAAATAAAAATTAAATTACTTGAAATATAAATGAAAATGGTTATATAAAAATAATTACTTATAATCATGCAATTATTCAAGCATTTTTTCCAATAATTATATCAAAGAGAATGTAATTAAAATGATATTTTATATTCTGGCAAGCGTGATAAAAAAAGAGCTAAATGATGAATACATTCACAGTCTTTTGACAATAAGTTGAATGAGAGAACAGGTTGACATCTCTCTAAAGAAGTACGCAAGTGTACTTGTAGGAAGTGTCTACTCACCAGTAGAGATAAGGCTTTTCTCTTTCGATATTGACAGAGTTGATAGGGTCGAGACGGAACCACGTGGTGAATGTGAAACCACTTTCGTGAGGCCACCTTGCCATTGGTGGTAAAACAATAGCCTGAAAATTTAATAGAAGAAGACATTTAAATTAATGCCAGTTAAGTGTAATCAAGTTCATTCGTTCGTAATTCATGTCAAGAATTATGTTTGTAGTATATAAAGGAGAGTAATGAATACTAATATAAGGGTTGTTGAAAATAAAGTTAATTAAATTTTAAACTTTAAAATTGCAATAAGTCATTTTTTACGTTATTATAAAATTTGTTCGCTTGTCTGGTTGACAAGATGATTTACGAAGTAAACTTTGCTTGTTTGACATTAAGTAGTTTATATTTGAACTCGGTGCCTTATAACTGTAATACACGAACTTCTATCTTGTGGTTTATCGGTAGTAGTGTTGGTGCCAACAAATGTCTCTTAGCTTGATAAATCATACTAACTCTATTATAAAATTCGTCTAATTAGTACATATTTTATAGATAAACTAAAAAAATTTATTTGGTGAATTATTAATTTTTTTTTCTATTTTAAAAGAAATCCTTTGTAAAATACTTTAGTGGTTTGTTAGAATTCAATTTCAAGAAATATAAGCACTCGGTTCAAATAATCCCTTTGAAATTGGACATATTTTCTGACTCAACAGTCTATTTTTTCCTTTCTCCTCCAATAGATAAAAAAACATGGGTAAATTGCTTACCGATCCTTTTCTACCCGGAAAACTGAAAAATACGTCAGGTCCATTCCGTTGCGGCATCTGGCGAAGTACGTTGAGTAATTTTGCCGAATGTCGAGGCTATTTGTAGATGGAAAAAATTAATTAAATCAGAATTAATTATGTAAAATTGAATTTCTTTTTTGTTCAAACACTTACCCATTTTCCTTTGACGGCTTTCATTGCGCCAAATAAAAGCTTGAGCTCTTTAACTGTTATACTATAGCTTGCAAGTACTCCTAACATATCAATAAGTAAATCTACAAACAAAAATACACAGGAAACAATTGAAAAAAAATTTCCAAGTATTATTTAAGTATTGAAAAATGAATTTATTTACCTGCAACAACTGTTTCTGCTCGAGATAAACGATGAAGAACATGTTCTATAAGACTGACATCAGTGCATGCTTGAAGGTTTCTCACGCTTTTTCTCAATATTGCAATGAAAACACTCCATATTTCCGCCTGAAATAAAAATCATTTGCAAACACAATTAATAAAATGGCTGTTTATATTTGTTTGTTAAAATACAAAAAAAGCTTTTTCAATGAGCGTTATATTTAATATTTATTCGTATCAAAGTGACCTACATCAGAGTTGAATGTAATTCATAACTTTGATGAATTTAATTGGATTTCAACATACTGTAATGTAATTTTTACCATTAACTTCCACAAACGTTTTTTTTTCACTTTTCTAATCATTTTAATATACTTTTAATGAATCTTTTATCTACTTTTTAATTGAGTTTTGAAAATCTTTTTTATAACATAGTTTTTATGGAGTATCTGAATATTATGAATAATTTACCTACTGAAAAATCAATTTTATCTACTAAAAACTTTTAAAGATTAATCTCAGAAAGCTGAAAAGTAAAACTGTTCCAGAAAATAATTAGTTTACAACATATTTAATATTCTCTATTAACGTCTTAATTTCAGCAATGCCTCATCTACAAATATAGAAAGCCAGCTCGTTTTCAATGATGAATTACTTCATGAAAGAAGTGTGCTTTGATGTAAACTTCATCATGTAATGTTCAGATCACTTTTATTAAATTCTCTGAATATAATTTCAATTGTCATCAATGATACAAAAAATTTGCACTGATTGTGAAGGCTTTACATCAATAAAGCGAATGGATGTTAATTTTTTTATTGACAATGTAAATATAAATTCAAATTAAAAGTTAACGATTTGAAACAATCAGATAGATTGTCAATGAATATTTTGTTTTTACTTTTAGAAAATAATTGAAAAGAACATTTTATTCTCACAAATATAGTGTGATAATTCTCAATTAAAACTGAATATAACAATTGCATAGGATTTCGTCAAACTCGATAGAAATCAAATTTCTAAAAAATATGTAATTAAATAAAAGTATAATAAAGGTAAGTAATGAAAAGTGTGAAATATCATTTTGAATTATGACTGCATATAAATTTTCTGTGTATTATAAATAAAGGTATTTTATATTAAAGACATTACTCTATTTTTAGTTACTTCCCTCTATTCACTAAATTTGAATAAATGAATTAATTTCTATGACTTTTTTCATTACTTTTGTGAATTTACTGGGTGATGGTTTGGATCTTATCGTCAACTCACTAATTATCAGAAGGAAAAAGAAAATCTTAAAAGCTATAACAGAACATGAGTTGGTTCTCACAAAAGTCTTAAAGTCCAATCCATCAAAAAATCCTGACTATACATTTCGTAGAGATCTAAAAATTACGACACAGCAAATATCATGATGTTTATGAAAAATGAACTTTAAATCTGTCACAGTAAGACATTTTTTTTACCTAATTGTGTAAATTGACTCTTTAATTAACTTCAGTAAAGATAATAGAAATTTCATCTTTTTCATAAGTCTGATGCGAGTAAGATGTCTGAAATTAAATAGCCGTTGCATATTAACACGACTAAGCTTTCAAAGATTCATTAAGCCGGTTTGATAAATGAATTACGTTCCTCTATCATTATAAAAATTTTATAATAGTTCTACGATCAAAGAAATCCTAAATATAGATAGAATAAATAGCAAAATGAGCATAGCTTAGAGTTAAATAAGAAAAGCTCTATTATTTCACAAATTTACCTCGTTACACGCATAAAGTATAATTCCCTAAAGATTCTTTAATTAATAACGACGTAACCATTTATGTAATCAACTATTAAATGTGCTATTCATCAAAAAATATATAACATTCTAGATTATTATAATTCTCCTCTATTTTATATCCATGGTATAATTCATAGCTTCTTTTTTAAAATAGAACGTTGAATCAAAAAAGGAAGCAAAAAATATATAGTAATTGCTCGTTAGTGTCAGGTTCGAGGATAGCAGGGTTTATATGAATGCTTTGAACTTTCATTATAGTCACATTTTTAATGGTTAGTCTGCTGTAAACACCATTCTACTCCAGTATCACATTGAATAATACTTTTCTGTTGAATACTGGATATTATTTGAAATAAAGAATTTTACATAAAATAAGTTGCCACTAATTAGTCAATAACAGTGGTAATTAATACTTGATCAAAGAAGCTAATCAATTAGTAGACATTAGTCTCCATCTCAAAATCGATTCTCTGTTGCTAACTTCTTTTTCTCCTTTAAAAGACTCAGAATTAACTCAATTATCTCGAAGAGAAAAGCTTTTCTTGTTTTCTGTTTCTCTAAGAATACTATTAAAACGGAAATTGAGTTAGTGGAAGTACTTAGAATTAAATATAAAACGAATGACATCATTAAATATATATTTTCAAATAAATTGTACTTATATAAATAAAGAAAATATTATTATAATATTAATAATAATTGTTATTCTGGAATGCTTTGATAAGAGTAAATAAATTGTTGAACAAAAATAATCGAAAAAAAATCTTAGCAAAAGAAGAAAATATTTAACATTTTTTCGCGATAAACAGTTAACCACAACTAAGACTTTAAAGCCAGATATTTCTTGAACCGTGAACACCTAACGTTAGAAAGACCTCTACATGTAGCTTTTACGACATCCTTCTACTTGACTTGATACCAGCTAAACCACTGAATCTTGTGCTATATGATGCACGTTCTACTCACAAGTAAAACTCTTTTATCAAGGGATATACTGCTGTAATGAATATCACTTCGTCATCTTATCTATCTAAAGTCTTTACAGCGATGCTATCATTGGATAAGTTAATTTGAAAAAATTTGTATTCATTACTTGATCAGACTTTTTTTACGATATTATTTGATTGGTATTCGTCGTTTTATTTTAATATTTTAAATAAATTATGAATTAATTATAATTTAATTGATATAACCATTTTTCTGATGTGGACATAAATGAAATTATTTGCATCTCCTGTTACTGAAATAAAAAACAATTAATGTAGACAGTTGAAAACAAACAATTTGAACTATAAATGTCTTTCAAATTTCCATAACATTTTAATTTATATCTTATTATAATAATTTATACATAAAAAACTTTTACACATTCATCAAGTTTTCGTAACTTTATATTTATGAAAATGAAACTATTAAACTATGAAATACTTGACAGCATTCCCTGTTCTAAAATACTTTCAAAGTAATGTAAATATTGGCTTTTCATCGTTATTGAACGTAAATTTTAAGTGTTATCAATATCGTTTACTAAATTAAAAATCATTTTGATTATTATTCAATCTTTTTTCATTCATATTAAATTGATTTATTCATTCTTTCAAGTAATTTATCAAAATATTTTGAATTACTACTCAATAATTAAATTTAGAATCAAGAGTGTATGACATTTTTCATTAATTCAAAGCTTGGTAAATTTTAATCGACACTTGAAGTGCATAATAACTTGGAATATCTACAATATGGATCACTATTAACTGCATTTATCCAGCTACGTAATTGAGTAAAAAAAGCAATCATTTTGATAGACCAATCAAATTAACAAGTGTGATTGAATGTTTTCCCAACACATTTTTTCTTATTTTCTTTCAACTTTATAATTCATTATAGCTTTTAATAACTTTTGAATATCAACACGATAGTAATTATTTTCATTATTGTGATGACATAACAATAAAAATTGTGAAAAAAAATAATTAAAAGAGAATACAATAGAAAAGAAGAAAAATTGTGAAGTTTCTTTAATTTAAAAGTTATAGTATGCACTGTCAAGGAATTGTACGCTCAGAATGACGAAGCTTTTTCTCAGTGGCTTGATGAGAAGCAGACTTCTTATGCCACCGGTGTAAGGATGAAGAAAGTGTCTACAAAAGTCTGCTTTGTTCTTAAAGCTACATGAGAGTGACACGAACCTACTTGGTCTATATATACAATTCAAATGAGCAAGGAGGAGGTAAAAAAAAACAAAAAAGAGATAGAAATAAAGTTGAAAAGATGTAGAGAAAGAAAATGGGTAATATAGTCTTAAACTCTAAAGTTTCAGTAGAAATTAAAGGATACTTTATGCAGTAACATATATATGCATTTATATGAATTTATACATCTACCCAGTATACATATAAATGAAATATATATCAAGTTTAATATTATTTCACAAAACTTTTCAACTCTTTTGCTTGTATGTTTGCTTAATATTTTTCAACTGATGGATTATTTCTGTAAAATGAGTATTTCGCTGCTTTCGTAGTTTATTGTCCATGGTTTAGGATATTGAGATATGCTTTTGATGATTTCAACAAACGAACTAAATAATAAGGATTTTAAAAGCTCGTAAATATTGGACAAAGTGTATTGGGTACCCAACAAACGAGGGGAAGAGTTTAAGGGAAATCGAAACCTCTGCGGCATTTTCACTACTCGGAATATCCGAGACTCGTTGGTCTGCATAACCACCGGATCAATATTCTACTGATGTTGAAGGGACGTATCCCAGGATTTGAGCATTTTAGTGGGTGTGAAATTTACGTCAGCAGCTGCGAAACTTAAAGAATTATCAATTGTAACAGTAACGACATTTATTCAGTCAAATAATTAACCTGGTCTAAAACCAACGTACATTTTCGTTTCACTTTTTCATGCAGATAGTTTACAGATTGATGAATATTTAGAGTGAATTCCAGAAGAATGAACTGATAACGGAAACTGATCTGAACCAGATTAATCGAGATGCCCAGCGCGAAATGAAATCGCAGGAGATCTGTAGCTTCAATTCCCAAATATACACGGATGACTGCCATTTCTTGGTACAGCCACTTGGAATTAGTAGTGGCATTTCATGCATTTCACAACATCGTGCAAGCCGCTCAAACCGTCACGGAGAATTGCGTTGTAACCCCTCAGAGGAGATCCGTGTTAGGACAGCCACACTAATCGTATATCAGTTTAGTCGATAGCCCGATCGACTTGCGAATGGGTTTGTTGGATACACAATACATAATTTTGCTATGGTTCTCTTGTGATAATGATCAATCAATGATGTTATTCATCGAATTTTCCAATA